GTAGTTTAATCTTGAGAGACCTCGAAACAAGCCAAAATTATTTTTTTAACACACAGGCTTCCTGTCCTCAATAAAAATTTATGATTCCTTTCATGTCAAACAATAACTCATTTCAGAAAAGCTAGTCTGAAGATAAGTGATGTAACTATATTAAAAAAATCTAATTCCTTGCCAATTGTCAGTTAAAGAGACAACAATTCATGTTGTCGGAGACAAGAAGCCTGTACTTCGGTTTATCAAGATCCCCCTTGGCCAACTACTGAAGTTCTCTCAAGATGTAACCCACAACAGTTGCCTAAAGCCTGGCTACCTATTTACTGCTAGGTAAACAGAGTCACCAGATGATATGAAATGTGCCCAACCATTTCTGTTCTCCCCAGGGATTGAACCCACGTTCCTTTAGGTGAATTGAGGCTGCAGACCACTATGCTATAGGACCTGCCAGATGTTGTCAGAGTTACAAACATAATGAGGTAAATGCATGAGAATTAAGGAATTGATGATTATATATATATATATATATATATATATATATATATATATATATATATATATATATATATATTATATATATATATATATATATATATATATATATATATATATATATATATATATATATATATATATATATATATATATATATATATATATATATATATATATATATATATATATATATATATATATATATATATATATATATATATATATATATATATATATAATTATATAAATGCTTGCCAAAACTATTTTCTACAAATTAATGTTTCATACTGCAAGCAAACAGCAAATGTTTCAGATATGCCTTAACACCTGCAGGTGAATAGTACCTGAGAACATCTCTTCCACATACTTTATTCTCAGGGGACAACTCCAATGACTACCAGAGTCCGTCCTCCCAGGAACGACTCTACCAGAGGCCGTTCTCTCAGGAATGACTCTACCAGAGGCAGTACCCTCAGGAACGATTCTACCAGAGACCGTACTCTCAGGAACGACTCTACCAGAGGCAGTACTCTCAGGAACGATTCTACCAGAGACCGTACTCTCAGGTATGACTCTACCAGAGACCGTACTCTCAGGAACGACTCTACCAGAGGCAGTACTCTCAGGAACGATTCTACCAGAGACCGTACTCTCAGGAATGACTCTACCAGAGGCAGTACTCTCAGGAACGATTCTACCAGAGACCGTTCTCTCAGGAATGACTCTACCAGAGACCGTACTCTCAGGAACGACTCTACCAGAGACTGTACTCTCAGGAACGACTCTACCAGAGACCGTTCTCTCGGGAACGACTCTACCAGAGGCAGTACTCTCAGAAACGACTCTACCAGAGACCGTTCTCTCAGGAATGACTCTACCAGAGGCAGTACTCTCAGGAACGACTCTACCAGAGACTGTACTCTCAGGAACGACTCTACCAGAGACCGTTCTCTCGAGAACGACTCTACCAGAGGCAGTACTCTCAGAAACGACTCTACCAGAGACCGTTTTCTCAGGAACGACTCTACCAGAGGCAGTACTCTCAGGAACGATTCTACCAGAGACCGTACTCTCAGGTATGACTCTACCAGAGACCGTACTCTCAGGAACGACTCTACCAGAGGCAGTACTCTCAGGAACGATTCTACCAGAGACCGTACTCTCAGGAATGACTCTACCAGAGGCAGTACTCTCAGGAACGATTCTACCAGAGACCGTTCTCTCAGGAATGACTCTACCAGAGACCGTACTCTCAGGAACGACTCTACCAGAGACTGTACTCTCAGGAACGACTCTACCAGAGACCGTTCTCTCGGGAACGACTCTACCAGAGGCAGTACTCTCAGAAACGACTCTACCAGAGACCGTTCTCTCAGGAATGACTCTACCAGAGGCAGTACTCTCAGGAACGACTCTACCAGAGACTGTACTCTCAGGAACGACTCTACCAGAGACCGTTCTCTCGGGAACGACTCTACCAGAGGCAGTACTCTCAGAAACGACTCTACCAGAGACCGTTTTCTCAGGAACGACTCTACCAGAGACCGTACTCTCAGGAACGACTCTACCAGAGACCGTACTCTCAGGAACGACTCTACCAGAGACCGTTCTCTCAGGAACGACTCTACCAGAGACAGTACTCTCAGGAACGACTCTACCAGAGACCGTACTCTCAGGAACGACTCTACCAGAGACTGTTCTCTCAGGAACGACTCTACCAGAGACCGTACTCTCAGGAACGACTCTACCAGAGACCGTACTCTCAGGAATGACTCTACCAGAGACCGTTCTCTCAAGGAAGACTCTACCAGAGGCTGTACTCTCAGGGAAGACTCTACAGAGGCTGTCCTCTCAGAGTAGACTCTACCAGAGGCTGTACTCTCAGAGAAGACTCTACCAGAGGCTGTCCTCTCAGAGAAGACTCTACCAGAGGCTGTCCTCTCAGAGTAGACTCTACCAGAGGCTGTCCTCTCAGAGTAGACTCTACCAGAGGCTGTACTCTCAGAGAAGACTCTACCAGAGGCTGTCCTCTCAGGGAAGACTCTACCAGAGGCTGTCCTCTCAAGGAAGACTCTACCAAAGGCTGTCCTCTCAAGGAAGACTCTACCAGAGGATGTCCTCTCATGGAAGACTCTACCAGAGGCTGTCCTCTCATGGAAGACTCTACCAGAGGCTGTACTCTCATGGAAGACTCTACCAGAGGATGTCCTCTCATGGAAGACTCTACCAGAGGCTGTCCTCTCAGGGAAGACTCTACCAGAGGCTGTCCTCTCAGGGAAGACTCTACCAGAGGCTGTCCTCTCAGAGAAGACTCTACCAGAGGCTGTCCTCTCAGAGAAGACTCTACAGAAGATGTCCCTCAGGAAAAGATGCATTTAAGAGGATAACAACTGAAGAAAATTTGAATAAAGTAATGACAATAAATATTTTACTCTAAAATATACAATAAAAATATGTTATAGACTATTGTTTGCTATTACAAGCTAGACATAAATGTAACAACGTTAAACAAAAACAAAACAAAAATGTACTACTGGTTTCTATCATGATAATCTACTTCACATATTAATAATACAAATATTTCATGTGAACGAAATCTGAAGTTATGTGGCAAGGAACTATTTCTAGACGAGGACATTCCAGCATTCTACGATGGGTAATATTATAGCTGGTATGTGCGTTTTCTATGGCAGCCAGGTGAAACGGGGTGCCGTGCGGATGTCATTCATTAGGTTAGGGGTACAGGGCCTACCTCGTTCATAAGGTTGGGGTGCAGGGCCTACCTCGTTCACAAGGTTGGGGTGCAGGGCCTTCCTCGTTCATAAGGTTGGGGTGCAGGGCCTTCCTCGTTCATAAGGTTGGGGTGCAGGGCCTACCTCGTTCATAAGGTTGGGGTGCAGGGCCTACCTCGTTCATAAGGTTGGGGTGCAGGGCCTTCCTCGTTCATAAGGTTGGGGTGCAGGGCCTACCTCGTTCATAAGATTGGGGTGCAGGGCCTTCCTCGTTCATAAGGTTGGGGTGCAGGGCCTTCCTCGTTCATGAGGTTGGGGTGCAGGGCCCACCTCATTCATAAGGTTGGGATGCAGGTCCTACCTCGTTCATAAGGTTGGGATGCAGGTCCTACCTCGTTCATAAGGTTGGGGTGCAGGGCCTTCCTCGTTCATAAGGTTGGGGTGCAGGGCCCACCTCGTTCATAAGGTTGGGGTGCAGGGCCCACCTCGTTCATAAGGTTGGGGTGCAGGGCCTACCTCGTTCATAAGGTTGGGATGCAGGTCCTACCTCGTTCATAAGGTTGGGGTGCAGGGCCTACCTCATTCATAAGGTTGGGGTGCAGGTCCTACCTCGTTCATAAGGTTGGGGTGCAGGGCCTACCTCGTTCATAAGGTTGGGGTGCAGAGCCTACCTCATTCATAAGGTTGGGGTGCAGGTCCTACCTCGTTCATAAGGTTGGGGTGCAGGGCCTACCTCGTTCATAAGGTTGGGGGTGCAGGGCCTACCTCGTTCATAAGGTTGGGATGCTGGTCCTACCTCGTTTATAAGGTTGGGGTGCAGGGCTTTCCTCGTTCATAAGGTTGGGGTGCAGGGCCTTCCTTGCTCATAAGGTTGGGGTGCAGGGCCTACCTCGTTCATAAGGCTGGGGTGCAGGGCCTTCCTCTAAAGTCTAAGATCTTACTATTAAAGATGCCAACTAAAAGCACCATCTAAGGGACTATGTTGTTTCATTCACTACAGACGAGAACGTTCTCCCATGATTTGCAATTTCATAATTGCTGTAGCACATTCAATGGCAACAAATGTAATTCCATTGAGAAAGACTGCGGAACACTGAACAATTAAGCATTCTGTGTATTTCTAAATGATACCAGCGTTTACAGCATGAACTATAAGAGGTGTATGTATTTGCCATGATGAGTAACTTGGCAACCACATCTCAAATAGCAAGGAAACATGGATATCAAACAGAAAACAGACCTTCAGGTTGCAGTCATCTGCTTTGGAATATTTTCATCTAAATGTTACGATATCAGCAAATGATATAAATATCCTGGACATTATGCTTATATAAGTCCTGTAGACTAAGTCTACAGAAGTCCTGTTTTTTAATTTGAAGTCATTAAAGCTTAATATAATTATAGTCAAAACTTTTAAGCTTTAGTTACAAAATTAATTTTTTATTTTCAGAAGCTAATAACTTCTCTAAGATAATTTAAGTGAAAAGGAAAAAAAGTGCCTTTTTATGTATTTAATAAGCAAGCCATGACAAATGACCATAGCAACCAATGAAATGTAAATAAATGAAATCTACATAAAAATTTTCTTTTCCTGGCACCATATAATATTGATAACTCAGAAACCGCTGATTTCGCAACAAAAAGTTATCATGAGGCAACCATTGAACTATACAGAAAATGAAGCAGTAGGCAGGTAGGTGAATGGATATGTAGGTGGGAAGGTGAGTACGTAGGTGAGTGGGTAGGTGGGAAGGTGAAGTGGTAACAACAAGAGCCCACCTCTGGGTTTTCCGATTCCGTGGAGATCGTCATCTGACTCTTCATCAATGAATAGAGCTTAACATAAGGGGCTTTTATTTTCTGCGAGTTGTTCGTGGTGGGTTGTTGGATGGATTCAAATTGGCAGCATGGAAAGATTTATAAATAATTTAGTTGCTAAAAATAATGTGTACTCTGCAACTGATGAATGAGTGGAAAAACCCTTGGCATAAGACTCACTGCCGGGCAAATATACGCCAAAGAGATGATAGAATTCAGGCGTTGCTGGGATCTGGGCGGCCAAACTTACTGTGCATTTGCTACCACTGGCTAAAAACATGAGTAGAATTTTTTAGCTTCTATTAATTATAAGTTAATTATAAAACTCACCCAGAATTGAAGAATAGCAAAAATGATATTATACAACAGTGTGATAAATAATGCAAAACAGCAATAAGCAATACAGTGTTAAAGATGTGTGTGCCATGTTGCACAGTGGACCCGTCAAGCAAGATCTCAGAGTAAAGCAGAGTTGAAAGAACTTTGTTATAAAGAAATAAAATACATTATTACACAAACAGCTACTATAGTGAAAATAGACTGGGACAAATAGTAGACAAAACATACTCCTATCTACAATTAGAAAGTGTATAAAATATCCATTTAATATTTTGTTGCATTTTCAGAGCTTGAATAATTATTATTTTATAGCACCAATTTATCATCATATAAGAATTTGCTGTACAGACTGGCTATGCGGGAAACAATTTCATTCACAACTCGATGACAAATCCAAATGATTCTTTAAATCTGTAACAGTTTCTTAACTAACAAACTGATTTATACAAAATTACAAAGTCAATAAAGGGTTTTCAAGCTCTGAAATGCTTTCAAGAGATATGCATAAAGCGTAAATTAGTATTGCAAAAGCAAATTAATTTGGCAGAATAAAATATGTTGCAGAAAAGAGCAAAAACTCATTGAAATTCAGAGGAAAACATTCCAAACAATAAGTGTGCTGATGTTTCCCTAAGCAGAGGAATCATGAATTTAATTTAGGCAAATGAAGATCTTGTCAAAATGCAAACTAAATTAAATGGCTTCCCATTGTCAGGGACAGGAATCCTGCTAGGATTATAAAGGTTCCATTAACCCAACCACTGACCTTGACCAGGGTGCAACCCATAACAGTTGACTAACTCCAGGGTACATATTTACTACCAAGTGCCAAGAGGCATCAGGCATAAGGAATTGTGTTCAAACCGTCTCATCCTGCCCGAGAATGTAACCCGGGACCAATCCATTTGAGTTGACTGCCCACTTTGCTACATGTTATATTTTTTTGCAACTCATCAAGAAAGACGTCTTTTAATTAAATGTTACTTATTAGCTATATTAATATCCCATCTCAAATGTATGAAAATTAAATTAAAGCGACAACATTTCCTCATGACGTAATAAGGCTCCAGGATGCACCAAAATGTCGTCACTTTCAGTTCATATGTGCGTGTGAGTGATTTGTTTCAGCTTTGTTATTTTGACTTATTCTCTCCATGTTATTTATAAACTACTTGCCAAAATGTTTTAATTAATTAGGGCTCTCAGCCAACTTGTATGAAATTTATACAAATAATATGAATGTATTTAAGAGGCAATGCACAAAATAGGCTGTTAAAAACAAACACTTGAACAGATGACATATTTAAACTACAAATCTAAAAAATAATGATTAATAAAAAAAATTGACATGAAAACAGCACTCTTTTTTTTTTTTCCAAAGGTAATAAGTTTTTTTTATCTTCAAAAACATTTTCTACTTTGCTTATCCCTAACTTGAAATAGAACACGGAAATATATATGTGCTTTACATTATACTGTTCTGATTTTGTTCTGTGAAAAGTTACTTTCATAAAGAGAGTAACAAAAATTATTTATACCCCAAGATCTTCCATCTCATTTATACCAACTACGGAGAATTCAAACACATTTCAAATTATTTGAATCTCCAAGCAATACAGAATATTTTGACCAGCTGAATTTTCATTACTCAGTCAAATGTCTTAAGTCTACATTTTGTGGTAAAGATTAAATGGCATGGCATAATAACTTGATAATTCGACCTACCTCCCATGATTCTTTAGTCATTTCTGTCAACTCTCCTAAACTGTCTTCATTCTCCCCCGCTTCATTTTCCTGGTCAGCCCAAAGCTCAGTGTCATCCTCTACCAGAACAAAGCCTCGTGCTGACACTTCGTCTTCATTAAGCTCTCCATAAATATCGTGGGCCCATAACTGGAAGAAGTGGAACAGCTCATCGGATCTGAAAATTAAAAGTAATACAAGTAATGAATTTAGGCAGTATTGTGTTGAGCTTATTAAACATGATAACATAAGAATAAAGGAAACTGCACAAGACTTATTGACCCATATGAGGCAGTTTCTATTGACCCATTCAAGGCAGCTCCTATTGGCCCATACAAGGTAGTTTCTGTTGGCCATGAAAGTGAATACAGAACAGTATTCAAGGCAGGAAAGCACAAGAAAGAATAGTATGAGCATTTATAGTGGTATCACTGGATTTAAAAGTTCTCATAATCCATTCTTTCATTTTCCTAGCTGATGCTATATTTGCATGGTTATGCTCACTAAACATTAGGTCATCTAAATTATTACTCTCAGATCCCTTACATGTTGATCTGATTGTGTCTTGTATCCTGTATACCATTTAAGTTCATTATTTTTACTATACTGTAACTTTATTCATTATGCTTTGTATGTTGGTAAATATAAAAGACTTTCTATGATGTGTGTTATTTCTGGTAGATTTTGAGAGTTCTCTTCCATTTCAATCATGATTCAGGGTGTGTTGTTGATTCATCCAATTTTTTACTGTAGTCCTGGTGTTGTGGAGTGTGGTAGTTTATATAGAATTGAGGAGTGTAGTATGTGGGTTGATGGTGGCTTGGAGTCCAGTCAAGTGCCTTTCTCCAAACCCCATCTGTACTCTCGCATCATTTCTATCAGCCTCTTCTCATCTCAAATATGTTCTACTCTATTTCCATCTTTCAGAAAACTTTCAGAGATACACTCAACGTCCTCCCTTCTAGACATCTCGGGACCAATTGCAATTAGATATGTAGTCGTGTCTGGATAAGTACACTGTAGTCGAATTCCCCCCACCCCCCAAGCTCGAAAAAATAATAACTTTATGTACAAAAGTACGTAACAATACATTGTTGTTTCACTAGATACTTTAAACAACATGCCACAGAATACTGGTAATACAGCAACAATATATATATATGGGTACTCACCAAGTGTTCACATCTTTCTTTACATATAATAATAATTAATAATTATGATCTTGGAATAATGTGTAGGTGAGTATGGTTGTGTTAACTTGGGGTTGATACCTAGATGTTTAGGACAGGGTTGGGTTTTTGTTTTATTAGGTTACATTATTTTTAGTAAGCTTTGGTTTAGTTAGCTTTGGTTAGGTTAGGATTGGCTAGGTTTGGTTAGGTTAGGTTTGGTTAAGTTTGGTTAGGTTAGGTTAGGTTAGTTTTGGTTAGGTAAAGTTTGGTTAGGTTTGGTTTAGTTAGGTGGGGTTTGGTTAGGTTAGGTTTGGTTAGGTTTGGTTAGGTTAGGTTTGGTTAGGTTAGGTTTGGTTAGGTTAGGTTTGGTTAGGTTAGGTTAGGTTTGGTTAGGTTTGGTTTGGTTAGGTTAGGTTTGGTTAGGTTAGGTTTGGTTAGGTTAGGTTAGGTTTGGTTAGGTTTGGTTTGGTTGGGTTAGATTTGGTTCGGTTAGCCTTGGTTTAGTTAGCTTAGGTTTGGTTTCCTTTGGTTTAGTTAGCTTTGGATCAGTTTGGTTTAGTTAGCTCTGGTTTAGTTAGCTTTTGTTTAGTTAGCTTTGGTCTGGTTAGGTTTGATGGGGATGTCACCCTCATGCTGTAAGGCAGACATAACTAGCATAATTAGCATTGTGTTCACTGATATCTGAACATTATGCATACTCTTCATCACAGTATCATCTATGACACTGTTAAAGCAAATTAATCACCATTGCTTATTTTATTTATCATTATTATATGGTGGTGTCAACCCCCCTCCCTAGCTGCTCAGCGGTGCAGTGAGCTCCAACTGCATGTGCTAGCCTTGGTCGCTCTCTCAGTACTGAGGCCTTCACAGCCAGGAATGATACAATGGATTTTGTTCAAGATGGCATCTGTTTACTGGAGCCCTGAAGAACAGAATGTGAGCCCCATGCATCCACAGGAGTTTTAAATCTTATGCTATACCTAAAACACTACCCCTGGTTGTGGTGCAAACCATCCATGAAACAACCCAGGTTGTGATGTGCAGTTGAAGGGTTAAATTGAGAAGTGACATGGCTTAGGGTGGAAAAATGTGCACACTGTTCCAAAAATGGCATACATTACACACAGAGATCACACTAACGTGATGCATCAAGGCAGTGTCTGGGATGCTCCTGGACGCAGGTTCGAATCCTCATCACGGCCCTTGTGGATTTGTTCATGGCATACATCTTTTCCCAACATATACCAGCATGGTAGAATTTTCAAGGTCCCTCTAGGCCAACAAGTGACCATCCCAAGGATACAACCCACAACAGCTGCCTGACTCCTGGGTAACTGTAAACCTAAATACATCTTACCTGTTCTTGGGGATACTGAACCAGTACTCTGGTCTCATCCTCTTTTTCCCATAAGACATGACAGGAGTAGATTTTGGAATTCTTTTACAAGCTGGTTTTCCCATTCGAAGACATAAATAGAGCGGTGGGTCCTCACAAGATGTGGCTGGCTTGGGAATCAGTTCTGTAAGAAAGAAAAGAAGATCTAGATATCTAGAAATCCAACATTCTGTTTGTAACTCATTTTGTACGTATATACTTTAACCTGAATAAAAATGATTATTATTATATTATTATATAAAAGATATACGTTAGTTAGAAGGTCATTTTTAACACGAATGTCTAGTGTGTAATAAACATTTCAAAATATTTAATTCTCTGCAAACACACACATTTCAAAGTTGTTGAAATTCTGGTGAAAGCAACAAATGTGTGCAGAGGCCCCACTCCCTGACCCTTGCGAGCGTTACTACCCTACGAGTGCTTCAGTAACTCCCGTCCCTGACCCTTAAGTGTGTTACTAAGCAATGAGTGCACATTTCGTGAAGGTGCAGAAGAGCTCAATTCTGTGATGTGGGAGAGAAAGCAACCATTTCATGCAAGAGTATTTAAAAGTGCTTCTATAACCTATAATATGCATAGGAATAGGTGATAGGTGCGTACATAAAATCAAGGGAAGAGGTGATAGGTGCGTACATAAAATCACAGTAATAGGTGATAGGTGCGTATTTCAAAATAAAGGTGGAGGACACGATCTGAAACAAAAGCAAAAAGGTTGAAATTCATGTTTCATGAAGTAAGAAGCTGAGCCCTAGAACTAAAGCTTCTGGTACCTTTCATAGTGTCCTCCTTGATGCCTAAATCTTTCAGTAGAAGAAAGTATAGACATTAGACTTCATACCATTTTAGAGCACTTGTATATTAAAGATAAACACAGTATATATATATATATATTTTAACAATTATCAGTTAGTTTTGTCTAGTGCATAAATTTTGTCTTGGCTACATAAATATTACACCATCTACATACATTTTACCTCTGATAAATACGTTTAACCTTTGATGAATATGTTAAATATTTGATAAATATGTTTAAGCTCTGATAAATAAGTTTAATCTCTGATGAATAAGTTTAATCTCTGATAAATGATAAATCTGATAAATACTGTACTTTTAACCTCCGTTAAATAAATTTAACGTCTGATAAATGAGTTTAATCTCTGATAAATATGTTTAACCTCTGATAAATACGTTTAACCTCTGCTCTCCATATTTAACCTCTGCTATCTATGTTTAACTACTGCTATCAATGTTTAATCTTGTCTAAATACATTTACCTCTGTTACACATGTTTTACCAAAGCTACATACATCTTAATTCTGCTACATACATGTACACACAGAATTAAAAATTACATTCACATGAAAATCCAATTTGTGGGTAAACAAATATTTAGGTAAAGCAAATATTTAATTGACCAAAGAAACACTTTCACAATGGACACTGAACACAAACAGTCACAGCTACAACTGCATGCCTCAACACCTTTCAAAATGTTGGAACGTGTCATATGTATAGAAATCTCAAAGAAGTAAATAGTTTTGCTATTATTCAGGCAAATAGATTTGCCTGAAAAGATTTTGTAACATTATAGCTATATATTTTTTTTATGCTATTACTATAATTTGTAATAATAACAATTCGTTTTGTTGGGGACCAGAAGCCTGTGTGTATATGTATATACAGTACATATACAGTGGAACCTCGGTTTACGAATGTCCTACTTTACAAATTTTTTGGTTTACGAGCTCAATTTCTTTGAAAAATTCAACTCGGTTTACGAGCTTTGCCTCGCTTGGCGAGTTTGTTGATACACGTATGGGTCGACCAAGCACGTGGCTCCTGGTGGCAAGGGCGACCCCACTTCAGTTTACCAGTGCCTCCTGCCTAGTGACAATTGCATTTAAATTCTTTGTAAAGAATTTCACTGTTTTTCAGTTTTCTTGGTTTCTGAACATAAGAATAATTACTGTATTAAATATCATGTCATGGGTCCCAAGAAAGTCAGTGGGAAGATTCAACCTAAGAAAATAATTTGTGATTAGAGGATGTCCCTTCCTCATTAAGAAAATGTGTGAAGTATGGGAAGAACTGCAAAGTTTTGCTGAAAAGACTCACCCAGATAAGGCTGTAGCAGGCCATTGCATTGACCTTTTTAATGACAATGTGATGTCTCACTACAGACAAGTGTTAAAATGTAAGGAAAAACAAGTGTCTTTTGACAGATTCTTAGTAAGACAAGCAAGCAGTGAGCCACAACCAGGTCCTAGTGGTACTTCTGCAAATAATAGGAGAGAGAGTACCCCAGAGAAGTCATCACTGCTTGATGTTATAATGGAAGGGGACTCCCCCCTTCCAAACACTAACACCTCTCCTCCTCCCCCCCCCCCCTCTCTCACAGTCTTCCATACACCAACAAAAGTCATCAATAAAGGTAAAATATAACTTGTACATAGTGTAGTACAAAATATTTGCAGTATTATGTTTAAAATGCAATTTGAAATTATTATTTTTGGGAGTGTGGAACAGATTAATTCAATTTACATTATTTCTTATGGAAAAATTTGTTTTGATTTACAAATTTTCGGTTTACTAACTGTCTCTAGGAATGGATTAAATTTGTAAATGGAGGTGCCTCTTTTATACATATATATATATATATATATATATATATATATATATATATATATATATATATATATATATATATATATATATATATATATGTATGTTGTACCTAGTAGCCAGAACGTCAAACTCGGCCTACTATGCAAGGCCCGATTTGCCTAATAAGCCAAGTTTTCCTGAATTTATATATTTTTCAAAAATTTTTTCTTATGAAATGATAAAGCTATCCATTTCATTATATATGAGTTCATTTTTTTTAAATTTGAGTTAAAACTAACGTAGATATATGACCAAACCTAACCAACCTTACCTAACCTAACCTAACTTATCTTAACCTAACCTAAACTAACACAATTAAGTCAATAATTTATGTTCTTATTATAATATAATACAGTAATAATAATTCAAATAAACTAAGTGGAAACAATTTATCGAAAATATAGAAAATCACTCGGCCTATTAGGCAAATCGGGCCTTGCATACTAGGCCGAGAAGTGCGCTCTGGCTACTAGGTACGACATATATATATATATATATATATATATATATATATATATATATATGTCGTACCTAGTAGCCAGAACTCACTTCTCAGCCTACTATTCAAGGCCCGATTTGCCTAATAAGCCAAGTTTTCCTGAATTAATATATTTACTATAATTTTTTTCTTATGAAATGATAAAGCAACCCTTTTCTCTATGTATGAGGTCAATTTCTTTTTATTGGAGTTAAAATTAACGTAGATATATGACCGAACCTAACCAACCCTACCTAACCTAACCTAACCTATATTTATAGGTACGGTTAGGTTAGGTAGCCAAAAAAAGCTAGGTTAGGTTAGGTTAGGTAGGTTAGGTAGACGAAAAAACATTAATTCATGAAAACTTGGCTTATTAGGCAAATCGGGCCGTGAATAGTAGGCTGAGAAGTGCGTTCTGGCTATTAGGTACGACATATATATATATATATATATATATATATATATATATATATATATAATCTTTGGAACAACACCCACAAGTGGGACTCGAACCCAGAAAGCACAACTACCTTCCAGTAGCTGGCATAACTAGTATGCTTTAACCCACTACGCCATCAGACCTTACAAAAGAAGTAGATAGTTCGAGATATATATCTCAAACATCTCCACCTCCCGAAGGCACCAGATGAGTGAGGGGTCAGTCTGCATTTTTCGTCAAGCCACTGTCAATGTGAGAGAACTCGTGTCCAGCTTATAAGCCTATACTTGCATAAACCACAAGTGAAGATTAATAATCTTTGGAACAACACCCACCAGTGGGACTCGAACCCAGAAAGCACAACTACCTTCCAGTAGCTGGCATAACTAGTATGCTTTAACCCACTACGCCATCAGACCTTACAAAAGAAGTAGATATTTCGAGATATATATCTCAAACATCTCCACCTCCCGAAGGCACCAGATGAGTGAGGGGTCAGTCTGCATTTTTCGTCAAGCCACTGTCAATGTGAGAGAACTCGTGTCCAGCTTATAAGCCTATACTTGCATAAACCACAAGTGAAGATTAATAATCTTTGGAACAACACCCACCAGTGGGACTCGAACCCAGAAAGCACAACTACCTTCCAGTAGCTGGCATAACTAGTATGCTTTAACCCACTACGCCATCAGACCTTACAAAAGAAGTAGATAGTTCGAGATATATATCTCAAACATCTCCACCTCCCGAAGGCACCAGATGAGTGAGGGGTCAGTCTGCATTTTTCGTCAAGCCACTGTCAATGTGAGAGAACTCGTGTCCAGCTTATAAGCCTATACTTGCATAAACCACAAGTGAAGATTAATAATCTTTGGAACAACACCCACCAGTGGGACTCGAACCCAGAAAGCACAACTACCTTCCAGTAGCTGGCATAACTAGTATGCTTTAACCCACTACGCCATCAGACCTTACAAAAGAAGTAGATAGTTCGAGATATATATCTCAAACATCTCCACCTCCCGAAGGCACCAGATGAGTGAGGGGTCAGTCTGCATTTTTCGTCAAGCCACTGTCAATGTGAGAGAACTCGTGTCCAGCTTATAAGCCTATACTTGCATAAACCACAAGTGAAGATTAATAATCTTTGGAACAACACCCACCAGTGGGACTCGAACCCAGAAAGCACAACTACCTTCCAGTAGCTTGCATAACTAGTATGCTTTAACCCACTACGCCATCAGACCTTACAAAAGAAGTAGATAGTTCGAGATATATATCTCAAACATCTCCACCTCCCGAAGGCACCAGATGAGTGAGGGGTCAGTCTGCATTTTTCGTCAAGCCACTGTCAATGTGAGAGAACTCGTGTCCAGCTTATAAGCCTATACTTGCATAAACCACAAGTGAAGATTAATAATCTTTGGAACAACACCCACCAGTGGGACTCGAACCCAGAAAGCACAACTACCTTCCAGTAGCTGGCATAACTAGTATGCTTTAACCCACTACGCCATCAGACCTTACAAAACATCTCCACCTTCGGGAGGTGGAGATGTTTGAGATATATATCTCGAACTATCTACTTCTTTTGTAAGGTCTGATGGCGTAGTGGGTTAAAGCATACTAGTTATGCCAGCTACTGGAAGGTAGTTGTGCTTTCTGGGTTCGAGTCCCACTGGTGGGTGTTGTTCCAAAGATTATTAATCTTCACTTGTGGTTTATGCAAGTATAGGCTTATAAGCTGGACACGAGTTCTCTCACATTGACAGTGGCTTGACGAAAAATGCAGACTGACCCCTCACTCATCTGGTGCCTTCGGGAGGTGGAGATGTTTGAGATATATATCTCGAACTATCTACTTCTTTTGTAAGGTCTGATGGCGTAGTGGGTTAAAGCATACTAGTTATGCCAGCTACTGGAAGGTAGTTGTGCTTTCTGGGTTCGAGTCCCACTGGTGGGTGTTGTTCCAAAGATTATTAATCTTCACTTGTGGTTTATGCAAGTATAGGATATATATATATATATATATATATATATATATATATATATATATATATATATATATATATATATATATCTTTGCTTTTGTTCTCTTTGGATAGTGTTCCTGCATACTACACAGGCACGTTTACCCTTCTACCGTGATGCTGTACCTCCTGGTATTTACTTGAGCATGTGGACACCGAACATCTTGTTACCCCGCAGTCTGTCTG